AAAAAAAAAAAAAATTACCGAAACAGACTGGAAACCGTATGGAAAAAAACTGATTTGTTAAATGTTTTGCGCGGGTATATGGAAAAATGGCTAGTGAAGAATTATTTACTGCGGAATTATCTGAAGAATTAACTGACAAACAAGATGATAAAGACGAAATCTTGGATGCTTTTGAGGAAGAGGCAGAAACCATTGTAGAAATAGAAGTAGGCGAAAATGCGGAAATTGTCGAAGTGGTTTCAGAAGGTAACGAATATGCAATTTTATGCATGCCAACGCTTTTTTTTTAATTTTGTGATGCAGAAAAGCCGATTGCTACAACTGAGGATGATGTACCGGAACAGCGGCTGTTTCAATTGCCCCAGACACGGATTAAAAACTTGATGAAATTGGACCCAGACATGAATCTTGCTTCTGCTGAAGCCGTTTTTGTAGTTACAAGAGCTACAGAACTTTTTATAGAGTCACTGGCGAGCGAGGCGTTCTCATATACAACCCAGTCGAAGAAAAAGACTGTGCAGAAACGAGATGTAGACTTGGCTATCTCTTCGGTGGATAGCCTAATGTTCCTGGATGGCGCAATGAATTTCTAATAATACTTCGCTACTAATGTTTGTAAATAATGGTAAGGTAAATTTTGTAAAATAAAATGTGAAAATGTAAACGAAAAAATTCATAATGGATTGGTGTTTAATGAGCCAATCAAGGGATCCTTTTATGAGGTTATTTGTCCAGCGACAATCAACTGTGCTGGACTTAATAATGCTTGAAAATATTTACATGCTTAATTGGTTTACCACCAAACATCAAACAAGGAGTAAAGTTTTAGTTCCATTTGAAGTTCACACCCCTATTACAAGTGTCGACTACACCTTTTCCAAGAGTACTTCAGAAAGCATCAAATGTACTTCAGGATTGTCAATTGTAGTTCAGAAACCGTAAAAAGTATTTCAGAAACTATAAAATGTTCTTCAAAATAGTCAATTTTATTTCAGAAACCGTAAAGAGTATTTCAGAATGGTCAAATGTACTTCAGAAACCGTAAAATGTACTTCAGGATGAATGTGCTGTCGTGCAGTGCGGACGTGTTTTCTTTGCTCGTCTAGTTTTAATCAAAATCTCTACAAATTTGTGTAAGCTGTGAATTTCGACGCTCAATATGGATGGCCTCTGTGGCAAGTGCGACAAGGTTTTTGCGCGAGGAGATACTTGTATCGTGCCCTGCAGTGGATTTTGCAAGAAGTGCTTCCATCGTGCGTGCTGTGAAGGCCAAATTTCGGAATACGATATTGGTTTGCTCATCTCGAACCGCCACATTCGCTATTTCTGTTCGGAATGCATACTCTTGCCAGCTACATTAAGCAAGACTCTTGACCTAATATCGTCGACACATAAACATGGGTTGGAGTCCATTAAAAGTGACTTTGAGACAAAATTCAAATCTTTACACGAGCAACTCAACGTAGTCAAAAATCAATTTGAATCCATAAGCAAACAAATTTTCAATGACAACAACAACAACATTGCGAAAGTGCTAAGTGAAATTAATATCCTAAAAGTGGCTGTTGCTAAAACAACAAACTACAATGTAAATGCTTCTAAAAAGAAGTCGAATAGCCGCCCGCCTGCTGTTCAGAATACTTTTGTTGCGCCTGATGATGGCAATTATACCGCTATTACTGAAATGACTTTTACCGGCTCTTCACCATCCTCTTTAACACCATCTTCGCACTCAGTTAGTGGTGCTAAGCATATCAACAATAACAATAGCGCATCAGTGAATGCTTTGCCTACTGTTGGTGATGCTGCTAGTGGTGCAAAGCACAATAACAATAAAACTCATTGCTTGCCTGTGGCCCGCAATGTGTCAGTGAATGCTTCTTTGCCTATTGCTGCTGATGTTGGGTTTTTAAATTCATGCGATCCTGTTGCTACGTCTGGTTCGCTCATATCGCCGCTGCCTTCAAACGCTGTCACACAGTTTTCTACGGTTCCTACTTTGCCTATTCAATTTTTGCCTACTGCCAGTGATGCTAATTCTAATGCTATGCTCAATAATACTGAAACTCGTTGCTTGCCTGTAGCCCGTAATGTTTCAGTTAATGCTTCGTTGCCTAATGCTGGTGATGCTGTGTTTTCTAATTCATGCGATCCTGTTCCTACGTCTGGTTTGCTCACATCGCCGCTGCCTTCAAACGCTGTTACACAGCATTCTACGGATGGTGCTGAAAAGTATGAGTGGAAAACGGTACGCAACAAGAAATCAAATAGATATAAAAATATTGTTGTGGGCAGTAATACTAACTGCGACCTCGACGTTGTAATTAAAAAGAAGTGGTTACACATCTCTTCGTTCAAACCATCCGTGACTGAAGATAAAATAATTTCATATGTTGCTAATCAGTCAGGCGTTGACAGTCAACACCTGGCTTGCTACAAGCTGGTTAAAAAGGGTGCTTCTGTCGATAGTTTGCGTAGCCTTAACTTTAAATTTGGCGTTTCACCAGCATTCTACAACCAAATTGCGAATCCAGCGGTCTGGCCGACTAACATAAAAGTAAGACCGTTCCGCTTTTTTCAAAAACTGGACAACTCGGAAGCGAACCACTAGCCCAAATCGCAGCTGCAATGATAATAATCTGAAAATCTACTACCAAAATATATCTGGTATTCGAACTAAATGTGCAAAGGTTCGCATGTTAACTGCTCATTTGGAATATGACGTATACGTTTTTTGTGGAATCATGGCTTAACGACAGCTTTTTTGATTGCGAAATCTTTGATTCTGACCTTTTCGACATTTTTCGCAAAGACCGTGATGCTGAGAAGACGGGATGTTCTAGAGGCGGTGGTGTTCTCATAGCGGCTCAACGGAGATTCAAAGCTTCACAAGTAACGCTCACCAATTCTGACTCGCTCCTTGATCAGCTTTGCGTCTGTATTCACAGCTCCTCCGGCGATATCCTTTACATATGTGCGTCATACATCCCGCCGAATAGCTCTGAAAGCCTTTACGTTGCACATGCTGATAACATCGTATCATTGGCGTCTGATGTCGTTGGTAATAATCACATTTGTGTTCTTGGTGATTTCAACTTTAGCCGGCTGAACTGGACTCCAAGTGGAGATTCTGCTGCTCTTATAGCTGCAAACGTGAGCTCTCCAACAGAAATTTATATCGTTGATAGCTTTTCAAGTATTGGATTACAGCAAGTTAACTGTATTTATAACCAACTAAATAGACTATTGGATCTTGCTTTTATCAGTGACAATGTAAACTTCACGTTATCGGAATGTATGTCTCCCATCTCTCCGGCTATAATGCATCATGTGCCTCTCGCTCTTGAGCTGGAGTTTTATAACTTTGATTCAGTGCCGGAAGATCGCAGTATTAATTTTAACTATAAATCGTGTGATTTTTCTTCCTTAAATGATGCCCTATCAGATATAGATTGGAGTTATACTTTCCGTGGCAGTGATGTAACCTCTTGTTACCGTATTTTTAAGACCACCCTCTATGAGCTATGCCTGCAGTACATCCCTATTCTTAAGAAGAAGGTGTACAAACTACCGTGGTACACGAAGCGTTTAAAGCATCTAAAAAATTTAAAAAACAAATTTAGCAAATTGTATAAATCCTCAAACGACTCCGCGCATCTTCTTAAGTTCCGGTACTTTCTAAAAGAATTTAATTGTTTGAACAAATTTTTATACCGAAATTATATTTTAAACTTTGAAGCTAATATTATCTCGAATCCCAAATCTTTCTGGCGTTTCATTGATTCCCGAAAATCTTGCTCATCAATTCCAACAAATGTTTTCTACAATGGTCGCTCCGCAAATTCAGCCTCTGACTCGGCAAACCTATTCGCTGAGTTTTTTTGCGCTAACTTTGTCAATGACATGGACTCGAATATAACGGGCTCTAGCTCTTCTAGTGACTCTTCGCTGAATTTAGGTTCGCTAACCATTTCAACCGAGGACGTTATCAAAGGAATTGGTGATCTTAAGCCATCTTCACAAGGCGATGTAGAGGGTTTCTCGGCTTTTCTGTTGAAAAATTGTCTATGTTTAGCTGAGCCTCTTACTGCAATCTTCAATCACTCTCTGGCCTCGGGCATATTTGTGGACGACTGGAAACAAACGTCTGTAACCCCTATCTTTAAAAGTGGGAACAAAAATGATGTCCGCAACTACAGACCGATATCAAAGCTATCTTCAGTCTCCAAATTATTTGAGATTGTTGTAAGCTGTAAACTGTCTTTTGCTGTTAAAAACCTAATTTCTACTAATCAGCATGGGTTCGTCGCTAACCGCTCAACAGTCACAAACTTGGCTATTTTCAGTGATTACTGCTTATCTGCTTTTGAAAACAAAGCTCAGGTGGATACCATCTACACTGACTTCTCGAAAGCTTTCGACAAAGTATCACATCGTTTACTTCTGCTGAAACTGATCTCTTTTGGATTTCATTCGACATTTTTGTCTTGGGTTAAATCCTACTTAACTGATAGGCGCTGCTTTGTAGTAGTCGATAATGCAACCTCAAAACTGTTCATCGCGTCCTCGGGTGTCCCTCAAGGCAGCATTCTCGGTCCCCTATTTTTTGTGCTTTTCATCAACGATATCAGTTCTTGTTTCAAATTT